AGTTGTGGCCCATCTTCAATGTAAATCTTAAATAGAAGTGTGGCTGCTTAAATGGTTTTTGGAATTGCACCCTCAGAACATGAAGGCGATACACAGCAGGTTCAGTCATGTTTCAGTCTGGAAATGCTGAGATAATGGGAAAGAAAGTCTGCAGTCTGATGAAAGTAATGGACTCCTCTATGTAAACTAAAACAATCCCAGAACAAATCAACTGGTGAGATAAGCTTTAATGAAGATACAATTGGCTGAAGTCCACCCAGATCCCTATAGAATAGCAAATCTACTAGCTTTCTTTGCTTCATCTCTAGTTTTTTGCTTTACTTTTTCTGTTTCAAAATTTTTGGCAGTCTGACCTAAACTGAACATAATTTCATAAGTGAAAAGTACCTTCACTGAAGTAGCTGAAAGCATGGGCTGCAAACATTTATGAATTATGTTTAACTAAACACAGTAAATAATAATTCAATAGGATTTTCATGATGGAGCAGACATAAGGAGGGGGGGAAGAATGTTGATTATTTACCTGGCCTAAGCTAAAAAAAAAAAAAGTGTAATGTCCCAGAAGAGATGTTAGCTATTAAATCTGTAAATAAAAGCCTTTTCCCTCATTGTCCCCTTGTGCTTCTGCTTTCAAAAGTGTTAAGAAGAGCATTTTATAACTTTAACTGCAAAATAAAAGTGTCCAAAGGGCGAAATCTGACTATCTGCCTTACACACATTGTCTTGTTGACTTCACAGGATACTGATACGAGATGCGCAAGCAAGATTTGGCCTTAAGGTGGATTTAGATATGCTCAAATTAAAAAAAATGGGAATAAATAAAAGGGAATCCTGCAATTTTAAAATTAAATAATGCATATTCTGCTTCTCTGAAAGGGAAGTAGTCCAAGGAGACAAGAATTTATGTTCTCAGCATATCCTACTTTTTTGATGTTCCAGGAGGGCAGTATTACACAGGTTGGAGACCTGTTCACCCAGTTACATTTAGTTATTTTCAGGTGGTTTGTACATATAGAAGTCTACAATGGGTAAATCTGCTGAAAAATTCTTCACAGAGGACAGTCTTTTAATTTAAACTCTTTAATTATGTCAATCTTAACAGCTGTTTTTACGTGGCAAGGGGTAATATAACCAGGGAGATGGAGTAACTATTTTAATAAGAAAAGAGCAAATGTATGAACTGAAAGTTAGTTTCCAAGGAATCCAATGGACATCTTTAGACACCAGTTAATGATAAAAAACAATCTTTACATTTATATATACTCAAACCCTTTCTATGCTCTCCTGAAAATGTGAAGCTCCTACAATTCTAATGCCACAATAAAGTAATGTTTACTGTCAATTATGACTTTGAGGTATTAAAGTACCATTTCTATTACTGTATGAATACACTTGCTATTCTTATCTTTGTCCTTTTGGTTCTGCTCATGAGGATCACAATCTTAAGTCACTTCTGAAATTAGCATTTCACTGTCTTCAACAACTATGAAATGTATTGCTTGGTACTTAAAAAATTGTTACAGTATATATAAGTTCCTCACACAAATTAAGGAGTTGGGGAAGGGAAGGCAAGGGGAAAGGTGAGCAGGAAAAGGGTAATGGGAGAAACAAGAAATGAATGAGTGAAATTAATTACGAAAGGGAGACAGGAGAAATAAAAGAGCAAAAAGTGATGCACAGCTTTAAGGCTAACAATTTATATTCATTTCATGGACCCCACCCCTCCCTCTCTACCCCCCACCACCTCCCGTTCTTAGGAGGAGCAGACATAAGACACAGCTTGTAGTTGATGCTAGTGTGTCAGGGATGAATATAAGAAAGAAAATTCTAAATTTAGAGTTTCATTGTTGCCTTTTGGGTGCAGCAATGCTAGTCTGGATGTTCCAGCAATATCTGTACAGCATCCAGACCATTATGGACAAATGTATTAACTACCTGAACTGACAACTGAGTTCTAGTTTCAAGAGCCTTTGGTCCTTGTGGTGTCCTATCACAAGTTATCTAGTTATCAGTTTTCTAGCTGAGATAGCATCTGCATTTTTTAAATACAGGCACACAACAACCAAACTCTATGAAACCTTTCAGGCTTCCCCAATACCAGACACCATCAGCTGCGTGAACATTTTCAAATGGGTACCTTTGTGCCTTCTCCCTTTCTACCCACTACGCTTGGGAGGAAACCCTCGTGAACATCCATTAAAACTCTCCTCATCCAGATCCATCCTTTACATGATGCCTATACAAACATAATAGCTAAGCTGTTTGTGTCTTGAAACATTAGATATTATGCTGACCAGAACAAATTAATACATCAAAAAGCAGCAGAATAGGGCCCAAATGCCTTTTCAGATCATCTATAAAGAAAGAGTCTCATTATATTGGAAGAGCTGAACTAAAATTGTAATTCAATAACCCATATGTCCATGGACATGTGCCTGCATGTGTGTCTATGAACTATATTTAGATGTACAGTCTATAAAAAGTTTCACTGCAAAATGATCTCCAGCAGGAGTTGGATCCCTGATCCACGCCGCCTTTGACAGCCCCAGAAGAGGATCAAGCAGGATTCCAACCTGTTCAAATTTTATTTCTTCTATCCTTGTTCCCCATGAAGATGACTAAAGAGGCCATCTCTCTGCGCTCCCTGAACAAGACATTAAACAGGTCACAATGTGTTGTGTTGTTAGTATTATATTGAGGAATAAGGCAAGACTCCACTTTACTGGGATGGGAGTATAGGGTGGAGGGATGAAGGAAGACACTAACACTAAAGCAATCATGGGTCTGTGAATTACATGAGTTTGTGTTTGTTTCTTCTTCCTAGAAAATAAATGTAGACATGGATTGATGGGATTGTCGGACTAAATACAACCACAGGGAATCTTGGGCTGCTTTAACTCTGAAAAGCAACCAGCTATGCAGTTTCATGAACAAAACGTCTGCACAGCTTGAAGGCATTTAACCCTGTGACCCTGGTGTATTAGCACTTTGTCACAAACCTGAATGCAGCTACTTGATCACCAATGAGTGATGTCTTCTTAAGAAAAATTACTGGTTAATTGTAACACGCTATCAGGAGGTTCTAATGGTTCCATTCCCAACCATATAATGTTCTGATAGTGCTTACTTCTGGGTAGGCGTTTTTAGGTTGGGGCAGACAGTTCAGAATCAGATAAGTTCAAAAGTCAGGGAAAGGAATAATGCAACCACACTAAAAAGCTTTTAGAAAGAATCATTTATTTTTAAATAGTATACCTCCAGGGAATCTGGAGGGCAATGACAAGGGGATTGGTATGCGGAGGTGAGGAGGGATATGGCGGGGGGGGGGGGGGTGCACAGTTTTTTAAA